CCTCCTCCTCACATTGCCCCACACAAAGCCAAGTACAACGGCCATTTCCAAACTCCATAGGGACTTCTCTCTGCCTATATTCAAAGTTGTAACAAAGGAAACAATTATGTGCAGTAGGGTTCATGACTCCATGCCCTACAAATGGTGAGAGAATAGAATACCACCCCCCCCCACACCATGCACCCTGAAACTCCAAAAGAGCTTGAGTCTCTCAGATGCAATGTCCCTGGATGATGTTACTCTGTGCTGCATCCTATATTGTACTGTACATACAAAGCAACACCTGGCCTCTACTAAGGTTTGTCATCCTCAAATGAAAAGTGCTCTCAGTCTGCAAAGTAGTATTGTTATAAGACTTCAGTTAATAAGCTGTACACGTTATTTTAACATGTACACTATATTTCTTTGTGTGTTTGTTACTGTAAGCGTTCAAGCAATTCAGTTAACATTTTTGTTACCTTTTCTGCCGGCTTTATTTTCCTGGTGTCCCCTAAATCCTCCATTAAATGAATTTCCTTGGACAGGGGCTACAATGACAGGTATTGGATGAGGCAGAACTGCTTGTGTTTACAGCATTTATTTACTTGTAGTATTTGCTTCCTTTCCCAGGAGGAAAAAGCCAGAAGCTAAACACTTGCAAATCAGTGATTAACAGAGCAAACCAAGATCTGACCTGACAAGTGGACAGAAAAGAGAACTTAATAAATGTCTGTTTAGCTACAGCACCAACTACTCAGGACAAACTTTGCTGCAACAGAGATGATTATTATTTATTCAGAGAGCCTTCAGCATCTATCTGGATAAAATCCTCAAAGGGCAAAAACCCAAGTCTATTGAAAGCAATGGCAAATAAAGCCAGAATTTCATCCCAGTTTTTCAGACCAGCTTAGATGCAATTTAAGGATAAGTGGCCAGAGTTTCAAAACAACTTTGCACTTCAGAGGTATTGAGCACCTGAAAGCATCTGAACACTTTTGAAAATGTGACCCACAAATACAAAGTGTGGCCCCAAATGCACACATACACATCAGTGCTAATTACTGCAACTATTATTTTCTGTATTAGGCAATGCACTGAATTTTATTACCCACTTTGTATTATAAAGAACTTCCTTGAGAAGTATGAAGTAAAGCATAAACTTAATCCAATACCCTCAGGCAGGGGATTGGACTAGATGCCCTCCAGAGGTTGCTTCCAGCCCTACTTCCTTATGATTTTGAAGGGCCTTCTTACATGGTAATTTTGGGCAGCTCCTGGAGCTCTTAACCCACACATTGACACCTTAAAGTGGTTTTATGCACTTGATGGGCAGCTCAAAGTGATGCCACTCCAGGGCAGGATTCTCTCTGATCTGCACTACCTGTTCAATTAAACTGTGGCCACTCCCCACAGATGTGTTGCCCAAGTTGAAGTCCTCCAGTATCCCAGGACTTCTCACACCCCTGCCTGTAAAGCAGAGACAGAAACCTGTCCTGACTCAGCAGCCCTGTGAGCAACTCACAGCTACAGCTCCTCATCCTGCCCCTGCCCACTAGGCTTCTAGCCACAAGGTTTCTAGACTACGGGTGCGACTGCTCCAAACTCCAAGCTAGCACTAGCACTGATCAGCATGTGTGCAGCTCACAGCATAAGGTCTTACAAGGCCCCAAGGTGGGTTGGTGGTGGCAGAAGCGGGGGAGCTTCAGACACAGGAGGGGAGAGGAGACCAAGCCCAGGGGTGTCCAGATCATGCCCCAGTAAGGGGGACAACAGCCAGAGCTCAAAAACGGGGAGGGGAAGGGGCCCAGCTGCCTTTACCTCCATGCCCAGCTTCTGCTTCAGCACCAGGGCAGCACAGAGGTAGCCGGCGCGGCCCACGAAGAGCTCATCGGAGCCACACTCGAGGAAGGTGATGGGGGCGCAGACGGCGCACAGCTCGCAGAACCGGCCCAGCGGGCGGGCGAACTCGGGCAGCCCCAGCGCGCGGTAGATGAGCGCGGCCACCGCGTAGATGCCCGCGCCGCCGAGCAGGAAGGCAGCCCGCGTGTCGGCATCAGGCTCGCCCCACTCCTCCTCGTAGCGCACGCAGGCATCGACGAGGCTCCGGGCTGCTCGCAGGCAGGCCGCGCGGGGCGGGGCCAGGAGCGGGCACTGCGCCGCGTGGCGGCCACGCCGCCGTACAGCCCACCCTGGCAGCAGCTCAGCCCGGCCCCGGGGCCCAGGGCGGGCACCTCCTGCAGGATGCGCTCGATGGTGGAGGTGATGAGGGGCAGCGCCGCCTCCTTGCCCTGCGCCGCCAGCAGGTTGCCCTGGTAGTCATCAAAGCGGTTGGCAAAGCAGCGCCTGCTCTCCATGCCGCCGGGGCCAGCAGGGCTCAGCTCCCCGTGCTGCGGCTGACAATGCTGCTGCTGCAAATGATGCTGTTGCTGGCTGGGGAGCCCCGGGAAGAGCTGCCTGCTCATGGGGCAGGGGAGGGAGGAGCAGAG